AAGCCAACAAAATTTCGTTTCCGAAATAACTGTTAGAACATATATTATCTCAGTAATGCTATTATTGATTTCAGTTTTCTCTTCAATCAAAACAATCTTTTGATCGTTTTCCTTATTAGAGAAAACTAAATTATATTCATTCGTTAAAAAGAACTCAAAGAATAAAGTAATATATTAATAAAAGATAAACATATTACAACAGGTTATGGGCCCAGAGCTGGCAAATTAAAAAAAAAAGAGAGTTTAATTAAGAAATACTTTGCAACACTTTAAACTACAAAGTTAAAAAAAAAAGTGATCTTGATCTCATCTAGAAGATAAAATTTTGAAGAACTAATCGAGGAAATTTGGAACATTAGTTTCAAATAGAAGATTAACGTTCGAAGAAAAATAATCGAGGAAATTTGAGATCTTGTTAGCAAATAGTAAACTGTAAGGAATTTATTTCAAAAAGCAGACCAAGAAATTTCTCAAAGAGACGAGGTAACCATGGGCGAAAACGAAGCATCGATTTCATCAAATGTAGAAAGACTCACCAAAAATAACTATGCTGGTTGGATCGAACAGATTGAAGCCATGTTCTACAAGCAAAAACTTTTGTTTGATTTGGATGGAAAAGATGCGACAAAAGAAAATTATACTGAAAGTATTAAAAATGCCTACTACGAAATTATTGATGAAATAATAGTTCTATATAGACAGATGAGTGATAAGGGAACCATTAACCCTGAATTCATTAAAGTCGCAAATTTATTAGTATCATTGCAAAATGAATTTCCATATATTATATCAACATTTATAAATGTGAAAGAAGATTTGAAATTTGAAAATATTGTGAGTGCAATACTAACTGAAATTGATAATAACACTCAAATGAGTTCAATGTACACTAACATACAACACAAAACATTGTCAACTTCTTCACATATGAATTCAAAAGTCTTTTCAAGCATTTTTGATCGTCTTGAATCATCAGAAAAATTCAAAATGAATAAATTAAAACGCAAATCAAACTTTGAAAATTCCAAAGAGGAAGATGATATCATTTTGGAAACCTTTTGTGATCAATCTAAAATAGATGAATTCCATAAATCAGGTGAAACATATTTTACATCTTATCACTCTAAAAAAGTTTCTCCACGCTCATCAGGATGGATAATCGATTCTGGAGCATCATTACACATGACATACAATAAAAATTTTTTCCAGTCGCTTAATGAAAGTTCTGGTGAAATAAAAATTGCAAATGGAACTTTAATTCCCATTCGAGGTTTTGGAACAGTAAAAATTCTAATTAAAACAAATTCAGGTCCATTCGCAATTACTCTAAAAAATGTGGCATACGTACCAGACCTCGATGTCAATCTTATATCAGTAAACGAGTTAAATAAAGCTGGACACGCCATTCTCTTCGAAAAATTAACAGCAAAAATTAAAATTAGAGACACTTTTACATTACTTGCTCGTTTTGTCTCGAACAACTATTTATTAGAGGAATCTCCTCCAAATTGTGCATATCCTTGTGTTCATGAGTGGCATAATAGACTCGCTCATAGAAATTTAAGAGATATCAAACGTTTGAAAAACTTTGGTTTAGAAATCACAAATTGCAACTGCGCAGATCAATGTGATGCTTGTGCAAAAGGAAAATTAACAGAATTACCTTTCACTCATTCTATAAAACCAGATCACTCTCTTGACGTAATTGTAAGTGATATTTGTGGACCTTTACGTAAACAATCACTTGGTGGTGCGCGTTATTTTCTAACAATAACAGATGTGTTCTCTGATTACACTGAAGTTAAATTTCTGAAACACAAAAGCGAAGCCAAACAACAAATTATAAATTTCGTAGAATCTGTGAAAAATCAACTATCAGCAAAACCAAAAATATTCAGATGTGATGGTGGCGGCGAATTTATTAATCAAGAATTAAAAGGCTATTTAAAAAAAGAAGGAATCCAACTTCAGTTCAGTACACCATATACACCTCAACAAAATGGAATTGCTGAACGGAAGAATCGAACTTTAAACGACGCAGTTCGAACGATTCTAATTTCTTCTAAACTTCCAGAAAACATGTGGGCAGAAGCTATGAATTACGTAGTTTACACTCAAAATCGAATAGTTCGTAAAGATAAAAGTCTTGCACCTATTGAATTATTTTTCAAAAAGAAAGCACAAGCAACTTTCTTTGAATTTGGAAGAAATGTATATGTTTTGACACCTCGACAAAATAGAGGGAAATTGTCTCCTAGAGCCGAAGTCATGAAATTCTTAAGTGTCGATGATAATGCTAAAGGCTTTCGACTCTGGAATGGTTCAAAAATAACAATCAGCAGAAATATAAAACCGAAAGTTGATGTTACAATCAACTATACAGATCCTTTAACTGATATCCCGATTTCTAGTGAAGAAAATTATGAAAATTCTAATACTCTTTTTATAGATGATAATGAAACACAAAAAGAAGCTAATCAATCAGAAATCATCACCAATCCTGATCCGAGAACATATAAAGAAGCATTGAATTCTACTGATAGTGATCAATGGATTGAAGCTATGAATGAAGAAATAAATTCACTGAACGGCACAGGAACATATGAATTAACAGATCTACCAGAAGGAAGAGAAGCAATTGGATGTAAATGGGTATTTAAGAAAAAAGATGAAACTGATTATATCCGTTACAAAGCTAGATTGGTGGCAAAAGGATATTCACAAAAGTATGGTGAAGACTATGATGAAGTGTTTGCCCCTGTAGCTAGAGCACCTACGATACGATTATTATTATCAATGGCAGGAAAATTAAAACTTCACGTCAAACAATTCGATGTGAAAACGGCATTTCTAAATGGACATTTGGAAGAAGAAATTTATATGAAACAACCAGAAGGATTCAAAATTGGCAATAAAGTATGTCACTTACTAAAAGCGTTGTACGGTTTAAAACAAGCTGCCAGAGCATGGAATATTATGCTCACAGAATGTCTTGCAGAAGCCGGATTTAAACAATGTGAAGCAGACGAATGTCTGTACATATTAAAAAAAGAAAATGATGTTTGCTACATAGTTGTTCATGTGGACGACATGCTGTTTGCAGCATCAAATGAAAATTTAATTACACAAGTTTCAAAGCAATTATCAAAAAACTTTGAATTAAAAGATCTCGGAAAGGTAAAACAATTCCTAGGTGTTGAAATCTATTGTTCCAACGATGGTTTATACGGCATTAATCAAAGCAAATACATAAATAAGATTGCAACTGAATTAAGAATTGATCAAGCTAAACCTCAAAAATATCCACTTCAACCGGGATACTATGGACTTCAAGACAATGACTCTTCCATCAAATGATGAATACAGAAAAATTATTGGAAAGCTTCTTTATGTGTCAACAAATTCAAGACCCGACATTAGTCTGAGTGTAGGTAGTCTCGCACAAAGAGTTGAAAAACCGAGAAAATTAGACTTAAATGAAGCATTAAGAGTTGTAAAATATCTAATGTCTACAAAAGATCACATTTTACATCTCAATAATGAAAGTGCCTTTCAACCATTAACTGCGTTTAGTGATGCTAATTTTGGTGCTTGTAAAATTGATGGAAAATCAAATTCTGGAATAATTTGTTTCGTTAATGGAGGTCCAATAATATGGTCAAGCAAGAAGCAATCTCTAGTTGCACAATCTACATGTGAAGCGGAGTATTATGCAATAACAGAAACAACAAAAGAAGTGTTATGGCTTCGTCATGTACTGCAAGATTTCAACATTCATTCTAAAGATGCTACTCCTATTCTAGCTGATAATCAATCAAGCATCAACATGATTTTGAAAGGTACTTTCGAGCAAAAAACCAAATATATTGGAGTACGATGTCATTTCATTCGAGACTGGATCAAGAAAAATATTGTAGAGTTAAAATACTGTCCAACAGAACATAATATAGCTGACATGTTGACCAAACCTTTATGTGGACCAAAACTCAAATATTTTAGAACATCTGCAGGACTACTATCTACACAAGAATATCCATCAAAAATCTCAAGTCCAATTCTATCAAAAACAGACTCAATTATAGATTGGAATGTAACCAAAAATCAAATTAATCAATAATTGCATTATTGCGGGGGAGTGTTAGAACATATATTATCTCAGTAATGCTATTATTGATTT